TGAGCGCAGGAGAGAGCGAGGAGTAGTTTGTGCTCCTTTTCTGGGCCTCAGGAACCTGGTCAGGACTTCGCTTGGTGTTCTGATTAGATAGGAAAGCCATTTGAGGGGTTTTTGATGTGACTTTCTTTCTCTTTTAAACAGACAGACAGATTGTTACTTTTTTTAAATTTATGTACGTCTTCCCACTTAAAATAACGTTTGACTCTGCTGCGGTTTTCTCAATATTCTCCATATTTACTCTCATGACTCTTTTTCTTTTTTTTTTTTTTGTTTGTTGTTTGAGACGAGTTCTTTTTCACTTTGTTTCTGCCCAGCCGCTTAAGTACGTGAAGGTGCCGTGGCGTCAGCCCTTCCGCTCACCAGCCAACCTCGAAACTCCTGGCTCAAAGCAATCCTTCCTGGCCTCTGCGCCTCCCGACCGTACTGGGACTAACAGGACCATGCGCCACCCGGATGCCCGGCTAATTTTTTTTGCTCGTGATCATAGTCATTTGTCTATGTTCTGCCAATAGTTTTCTTTCCTATTCCTATCCAGTAAGAAGACGGGGTCTCCTCTTCGCTCAGGCTTTGGTTTCGAACTCTGAACCTCGGAAGCATCGCCGCTCGGCCTCCCAACGAGCTTAGGAAAATTTAAGGCGTCGAAGCCACCGCCGCCCGGCCTTCTCTCACATTGACATTTTGTGATCCAGCCTTATTGTTTTTAACTTTGTTGTGACTCAGAGCCGCGGGCGTGCGGTGGCTCGTGCCCTGTCATCCTAAGTGAACTCTGGGAGGCCCGGGCGGGCGATTGGGCATTCGACGGTTTTTTTAGGAGTTTCAAAAGACGCAGCCTTGAAAGGAAGAACCGACGCCCGCCATTGTTCTTACTTAATGAAACATTCAAGAAAGGAAATTAATTTGTTTGGCCAACCCTAATTATTCGAATAGAAAAAATAATAATCAGAAACTAATATATAAGTATACAGAAAAATTAAACCCAAGGCAAATGGTGGCGCAATGCCTATAAGTCCCAGCTTACTCGGAAGGCTGCGCAGAAGGAATTTGCTTGAGCCGGAGTTTTTTGGAAGGTTTCGCTTTTTTGTTGAGCTAGGCTTTGAAACGCCACGGCAACTCACTCTAGCCTGGGCAACAAGTGTGGAACCTCTGTCTTCCAAAAAAAATTAAAAATATGTAATCGAAGAGTGGTCAAGAGAGAACTGGCTAGAAAAGAGGATTTCTTGGAGACAGGGAGTACATGGCTACTTTATATTGAAAGTTCTCTTATGAAAACCGGCAAAACAAAAAAGAATAGTACCCAGGGCTTTTTTTTGACTGTGGGGATTCATGAAATGGCTTGTCGGTGGTTTTTGAAGCTGGCTAATACAACACGAATGTTTTTTAATGCTGGACTGGGCAAGTTAAAATCCCTGAACAGAGAAGAAATTAAAATTACTCAGCAAAGAATTGGAAAGAATTCCGTTGAATTTTGGTCCCTTGAGTAGGGAAGAAGAATGAGATTACAACAAGTGGGAAGGGTGGACTGAATTGTTGGAACAGTTTTTAATGTCCTCATGTTGAAACCTCCAATTGGACTTTACTTCAAAGGAAAATAGTGGTATTGTTTTACCACTTTTACAACAGTGCAGAATTTTTTGAGATTAAAAATCATTCTAGAAGGTTTTGGCTAACAAGTGTTTTGGTAAATGTCCCTGCTGTCTGCAAGTAGGGATTTTTCAATAAGTTTTTTTTAATTTCTTTTGTTTTTTTTTGGTTTTTTTGAGACAGAGTCTATCCTGTCCATCCTGGTTAGAGTGCAGTGGGTTGTTGCTTGTAAAGCTTCACTTGCATTGTTCAGATTCTGGGCCCAAGCGTCCTCTTGCCTCAGCTGCCCTGAGGTACAGCTAAGGACTTACAGGCCATGTATCACCATCAGTCGGCTCTAATTTCTGTTTTAAGTAGAGAACAGGCCTTGCTTTTTGCCTTGTTCAGGCTTTTGGTCTGAAGATCCTGAACCTCAAATAATTCCTCTCACTCAGCCTTGCCAGGCATGCTAGGATACAGGTTGGGTCTCCACTGTACATGGCCTTAATTTTTTTTATTGATTATTATTATAATTTCAAGGCTTTTTTAGTATATTCATAAAGAGTTTGCTCACCATCACCAAACGACTTATGGGAGTTTGATTTGTTTTTAAATTAGTTAATTTTTTTTTTTATTATATTTTTATTTATTGTATTTTTGAGACAAGAAGTCTTGCTTTTGTTTCTAGGCTTAGAGTGAGTGCTTGTGCATCAGTTTCAGCTTCACAGCAAAAACTCAAAACTCTGGACTCAAGCAAGATCTGCTTTGCGTCAGCGCTCTGCTCCGAGTTAACTGGGACTCACAGGCATGTGCAAGCCCCATGCCGGCTTCAATTTATTTTTATATAATATTAGTTGGCCAATTTAATTTCTTTCTATTTATAGTAAGAGACGGGGTTTTCTCGCTCTGTGCTCCAGTGCTGTTTTCGAACCTCCCTAACTCCGAGCAAACTTCCACCTATCTCTGGCCCCTGCGCCAGAGTGCTAGGATTACAGGCATGACCACCGCGCCCAGCTATGGTAGTGGTTTTGTTTAAAAAAAAGGGCTTTGTCCCTTCATTTTTTTAGAATTTAGTTTATTTCTAATATTCTCTTTTTTTAAAATAAATGTTTATTATTTTTTAAAGACCGGTTTTTGTCTCAACTTTGTTGCCCAAGGGTGGTAGTTGTGGTGTATGTTGTAGTTCACTGCAGCCTGACACTTTCTGGCTTTCAAAGTGGGTCTTCCTGGCTTCAGCCACTGAAATTACGTAGACTTATAGGTCCTGCCACCAACTCAACGTAATTTTTAAATTTTTTTTTGTAAGATGGGTCCTAACTTCTTTTGCCGGGCTTGTCCTCGAACTACATGGCCTCGAGTGATCCCTCCCAACTCTGAAGCCTCCCAGAGTTTGCGCCTGGGAAATTTTCATGGTGTCGAGCACTGTGTTCAGCATATTTTCTTAATTATCTTTATTTCCGTTGTATTTTGTTCATAAATTTGCTAACTCCTACTTCTAAAAAAAAACTGGAAGTGAATAGTCTTTTCTTTTCTTGTTTTTAATTTTTTCTTTGCTAGGTTTTTTTTTTTTATAAATGTAAACGTTTCATTCCTGTTTTTACTTCTTTAGAAAATTCCCATGTCTTGGAATATAGCGGGATTGGATGATTCGTGCATTAGTTTTTTTCCACTGTGATCAAATTGTGACAATCTTTATTAACATAGTCACTTTCTTTTTTCGCCTGGTTCCACTCTTGCTTTTTGTTTTATAACATTTTTTGGTCATTTTTGGGTCCTCTTTATCAATGTCCTCGTAACCTTGACAACCGAGTCCATTTGTTCCTTCATTTCCCTAATTATTTTTCTTATACTTGTTTACGCGCCTCTTCTTCCCTTTTTTCTTCCCTTTTCTGTCCTCCTTTTAGTCTTTGTAATTTTTTTTTTGTCATTTTGTATGATTTGCTTGGATTCAAATCCATTTGTTTGAATTAGAATACCCTTATTATATATGAATTAATTCATAAGAGATACAATAAAGAGCTAACACACAAAAATTGATTGATTGTAAGGCTTTCTTTTTAACTTTTTTGCTAATTGCTTTTAGCAAGTTTTTGTCCTGCAATTTTTTTTTGGGGGGATAGAAAATTTAACGCCATTGTTTTTTTTTTTGCAATGACTAACATTGAATTCTTCAAATAGAATTATGGCTTATTTTGTTCAGGCAAACATTTTTCTTTTATTTTGCTATCGTCTGGTTTGGGAAACGATTGTTACTTAGATACTTGGTTGGGTTTTTCTATAGATACCTTAAAGCTTTCCGCAAAAGAACTTCAGTGTATTCGGTTGGTTAGTTAAACACAGAATGGAGGGTAAAATTTTCTGGGAGAC